CCCACCCGCAGTGGATGAGTGTTCCCCTTTTCCCACATCCTCTGCAACATTTGGTATCATTTGTTCTCTTGATCTTAGCCAGTCTGACTGGGGTAAGATGAAATCTTAAAGTGGTTTTATTTGCATTTCTCTAATAGTGATGTTGAACATCTTTTAAGATGCTTCTTAGCCATCTTTACTTCTTTTGAGAACTCTCTGTTCCGCTCCTTTAGCCCATCTTTTTATTGGGTTGCTTCCTGTCTTGATTCTCTGTTTTTTGAGTTCTTTATATATTCTGGATGTTAAACCTCTGACAGATGTGTCACTGGTGAAGATTTTCTCCCATTCTGTGGGTTTTCTCTTCAGTTCCTTGGTTGCCTCATTTGGTGTACAGAAGCTTTTTAGTTTACTGAGGTCCCATTTATTGATTCTTGACCTTGTTTCCTGAGCAATTGATGTCCAGTTTAGAAAATCATTTCCTACACCTATGTCTTGTAGGTTTTTCCCAATGTTTTCTTCTAACAGTTTCAGAGTTTCAGGCTTTTCATTGAGGTCTTTGAGCCATTTGGAATTGACTTCTTTGCAAGGTGAAACATAGGGGTTTAGTTTCATTCTTCTACAGGTAGAGATCCAGTTTTGCCAGCACCATTTGCTGAACAAGCTGTCTTTCGTCCAGTGAATGTTCTTGGCCCCTTTGTGAGATATCAGGTGGCTGAAATTGCATTTACTCATATTTGGGTCTTCAAATTTGTTCCATTTATATATGGCTCTGTTTTTTTTTGCCAGTACCATGTTGTTTTTATGACTATAGCTCTGTAATACAGCTAAAAATCTGGTATAGTAATCCTCCCAGCATTGCTCTTAGTGCTTAAGATTGCTTTGGCTATCCTTGGTCTTTTATGTTTCCATATGAATCTTAGGATATTTTTTCCAATTCTATGAAAAATGTCATGGGGATTTTGATTGGCATTGCATTGAATCTATAAATGGCTTTTGGTAAGATGGTCATTTTCACAATATTAATTCTTCCAATCCATGAGCATGGGAGGTTCTTCCATTTTCTGATGTCTTCCTCAGTGTTTTTCTTTAAAGATTTAAAATTTTCATTGTAGATTTCTTTAATATCTTTGGTCAGGTTTATTTTGAGATATTTTATTTTTTTTGCAGCTATTGTGAAGGGCAGTGTTTCCATGTACTCTTTCTCTGATTTCTTGTTATTGGTATATAGAAAGGCTACAGACTTTTGTAGGTTAATTTTGTAACCTGTTGCTTCACTGAACGTGTTGATAATTTCTAGGAGTTTTCTGGTGGAATTTTTAGCATCTCTTAGGTATAATATCATATCATCTGCAAAAAGGGATAATTTGATCTCTTCTTTTCCAGTTATTACTCCTTTAATTTCCTGCTCTTGTCTTATTGCTCTTGCAAGAGTTTCAAGCACTACCTTAAAGAGAAGTGGGGTTAGTGGGCAGCCTTATCTGGTTCCTGATTTCAATGGGAATGTTTCCAGTTTTTCTCCATTTAGAATGATGTTGGCTGTGGGTTTGTTATATATGGCTTTAATTATATTGAGGTATGTTCCCTCCAGTCCAATTCCCTCTAGGACTTTGAACATAAATACATGTTGAATCTTGTCAGACGCTTTCTCTCCATCTATTGAGAAGACCATGTGGTTCTTTGTCTTTGAGCCTATTTATATGATTTATGACATTTATTGATTTATGTATATTGAACCATCCCTGCATCTCTGGAATAAAGCCGACTTGATCATGGTGGATGATCTTTTTGATGTGTGTCTGTATGCAGTTTGCAAGTATTCTGTTGAGAATTTTTGCATCTATGTTCATTAAAGATATGGGTCTATAGTTTTCTTTTTTGGTTGTATCTTTACCTGGCTTTGGTATGAGAGTGATGCTGGCTTCATAGAAGGAATTTGGAAGTTCTCCCTCCATTTCTATCCTTTTGAATAAATTAAGTAGTATTGGATGTAGATCTTTAAATGTCTGATAGAATTCTGCTGCAAATCCATCTGGTCCTGGGCTTTTTTTAGTCGGGAGGTTTTGTATTACTGTTTCAATTTCTTTTTGAAATTGAAAACAATTTCTCCATTGGTCTGTTTAAGCTGTTAATCTCTTCTTGGTTTAGCTTTGTTCGTCTCATGCCTTTAGATATCCATCCGTTTCTTTTAGGTTTTGAAATTTAGTAGCAAATAGTGCTTTAAAGTAATCCCTTATAATGTTCTGTATCTTTCTGGTGTCTGTTGTGATGTTTCCCCTTTCTTTCTGATTTTGTTGATTTGGAGGTGCTCTTTCTTTCTTTTGGTTAACTGGGCTAGCGGTCTGTCAATCTTGTTTATCTTTTCAAAGAACCAGCTCTTGGAATTGTTGATTCTTTGTATTGTTTCATTAATTTCTGCCCTGATTTTTGTTATTTCTTCTTGTCTGCTGGGTTTGGGTTTCATTTGTTTTGCTTTTCATGTGTCTTGAATCGCAATGTTAAGTCATTTATTTGTGTTCTTTCCGATTTTTTAATGTAGGCACTTATAGTTATAAACTTCCCTCTAAGGACTGCTTTCAGTGTGCTCCAAAGGTTTTGTTGTGTTGTATTGTCCTTTTCATTTAGTTCTAGGAATACTTTTATCTTTTTATCCATTCATCATTAAGGAGTGTGCTGTTTAATCTCTATGTGTTCATGTGGTGACTAGGGCTTCTTCCAGTGTTGATTGTAAGCTTTATTGCATTGTGGTCTGATAGAACACATGGAATTATTTCAGTCTTTTTGTATTTGTTGAGGTTTGTTTTGTGCCCCAGTATATGGTTGATTTTGGAGAAGGTTCCATGGGGCGCTGAATAGAAAGTATGTCCTTTGTGCCTGGGTGGAATACTTGGTAGAT